CATCCAAGTATCCAGGAAAAAATTTATACTAATTAACGGCTGGGCATCTCTCTAGAACACCTTTTCCCACACATTTTGGCTACATACTCTTCGTTCGCCTCCTCATACAACAATAATCTTGATTCAATTTTTTTTTTCAAGATGGCACTTTCTTTTTTTTTTTCTTTTTGTAGTTAAGTAGGCTCCACGCCTGATGTGGGGCTTGAACTCACGACCCCAAGAATAGAGGTGCACGCTTTTCTGACTGAGCCAGCCAGGCGCCCCAACAATTATTTGTAACATCATTTTCTATGGAGAGGGTGGAAAGTCTTCAGCATGGCTGATCAAAATTCAGCTTCTGTTATTGCTAGTTAGAACACCTTTTCTCAGCTTTACAACTTAGTACTGAGAATGCCGTAGTGAAACAGAGATCTGAAGTGCTGGAGAGCACAAAGCACACTACTTTGCACCCAGACGTGCTGGCTCTCCATAGTCCCTCTACAGAGTTGAGCCCTACACAGAATTCCGGTAAATTCTGTTTTGTGCGATTGCCATTAAAACTAAACAGAAATGTACGTTACATTTATACTTGTTTAGTCTACGTTATCACAGTTTGATAGAGAACTTCCATTCTAAGGGTTGATGAGAACCAACTTCTCTGCTTACATTTAAAAATTGTGAAATCCACAGAACGTAAAATTTACCATCTTAACCATCTTTAAGTGTGTGGCTCAGTAATTTTAGGTACACTCACTGTCCTGCGATCGTCACCACCAGCCGGCCCCGGAATTTGTTCATCCTGCAAACTGAAACTCGAGATCCATTAAACACTAACTCTACACTCCCTCTTCTCCCCCAGCTCCTGGCAACCAACACTCAACTTTCTGGTTCAACGAACTCGACTGCTCTAGGTACTTCAGGTAAGTGGAATGATACAGTATTTGTCTTTTTGTCGCTGGCTTATTTCACATAGCACAACATCCTCAAGCTTCATTTACGGTGTAGCACTTGTCAACACTTCCTTTTTAAGACTGAGTAATATTCCGTGGTATAGACAGACCACATTCTGTTCGTCCATCGTCTGTTGATGGGCACTTGGATTGCTTCTGCCTTTTGGCCATGGTGAATAACGCTGCTATGAGCATGTGTGTACAAATATGTCTTTGAGACCCTGCCTTTAATTCCTTTGGGTATATACTCGGAAGGGGAATTGCTGGATCATGTGGTCATTTCAGGTTTAATTTTTTGAGGAGCTGCCATACTTTCTTCCAAAGTGGCTGTACATTTTGCTTTCCTCTGCTTGTGTCTGCTAATTGAAGGAATTTTCCAGACTAGCTTCTGGCTCTGACATTTGTATTACCTTTGGCCCCGGATCTTCATATCGCGACACCGGTAGGTGTCACAGAAGGTGGGAGAGTGTGTATTCCTGGAAGCCGTTCCCACAGAGGATGGCCACCAATGGTCACGGATGTGACTGCAGACCACACACGGATTCCATGCAATCCAAACAGAATGTACTCCCAACTGGACTTCCTTTTGTCAAATCCCTTAAATGCCTGTGACCACTTCGATGCCTCCCAACACAAGGGCAAGTGTGATGGAGGGCGGGCTAGGTAGAAAGAGACAGAAGTCTTAACCAATTGCAGTTGAAATATCTTACTTTTAAAAAATTTTATAAAAACATATGCCTGTGTGAACACAAGCATAAGGCACCTCCCAGAGCCTCGGGGAAAAAAAGGTGCCTGCAGTTGAGGGGCCCTGGTGTTTAAATTTTATTAGCTTCATTGTAAATTTACCTCTGCCTGGCACGTATTTGAAAATATTTAACTTGGCAACATAAACGCTATTTATGAAGAACCTTTTTGATCAGTTAAATTAAATTGAATTAAAAGAGTTAAATGCTCTCCTGTGCGCATTTACTTTAATTTTGCTTTGGAATACCAAGTTGACTAGGAAGGCCAATGTACTTGGCAACAGTTTGTCCCACTTGTAGCCAAAAGGAAACTGAAGCCCCTGGATGAGCCCCATTGCCCGGGGCCCCATCGCTTGCCAGTGGGGGGACTGTGCAGGAGGATTCCCGGACCCAGGCGTGCGTATATGTGTGTTGGGAAAGAGGCGTGGCCTCCCTGCGGTCGGACGAGATCAGAAGCAGGCTGCTGACCCCGCCCAGCACAGGACTCTTGGGAGGATCTGTTCCCTGGGCCCCCTTCCCATCTCTCCTCCTTCCCCGGCTGCTTCGCCTTCTTCCAGGTGTCACGGGCACCGATGACCACCAGGTGGCGATGTTGCCTGCGAGGACGCTCTGTCGCCATCTGGTGGCCAAAAGTGAACACTACTCCTCTCCAATTCCAAAGGCGCAGGGACAATCTAGTCCTGGCTGGGGAATAGTAAACACCTACTGTGTGCTTCCCAGACTGACCCAGGGGCCCAGAAAGGAATATTCAGATTCTGGGGCCCAAAGAAAACATTTTCCAGGGGCGCCTGGGTGGCTCAGTTGGTTAAGCATCTGCCTTCTGTTCCGGTCACTATCCCAGGTTCCTGGGATCAAGCCCCAGATCCTGCTCCCTGCTGCTCAGCAGGGAGTCGCTTCTCCCTCTCCCTCTGCTGCTCCCCGTGCTCATGCTCTCTCTCTGTCAAATGAATAAATAAAATCTTAAAAAAAAGAAAAGAAAAGAAAACATTTCCCAAAGCCTTCCTTGCCCTCCCCTAACAGAATCAATAACCTCCCATCCCAGGTCCCCCCATAGAAGAGGATCCCCAGCCAGGATTCAGGACTGACTTACTTCATGTGTACCAAACTCACAGGGGTCTGATGTAAATACACCAATTTATTAGTTTGCAATACATATCTGTTCTTTAGAGTCTCCTTCCTGGAAAATTAAACACACCACCAGAAGACTGCTTGGTGAGCATGGAATGAGAACAAAAGGACACAAGAAATCTGAAGTTAATTTCATCTCAAGGCATGAAAAATTCTGGAGAATTATCCCAGCCTCACTGCATAGAACCTTCTTTGGTGACAGAAGATGCCCCAGTTCCTGCCAGAGAGGCAGGTCAGGGACTGCCAAGTCCTCACATGCTGGTGAGTCTGTGGTTCCTTCCACTCTTGCATCAGCTGCTGCTGGTTGATTCCTGTCGGGGGGGCCTTTCTTTCAGTTTTGAGGCTCCTGGCTAGGCCTTCCAATTATAATGACCTATGTTCACACTCAGCTTACAGATTTTTCTTTTAAAAATCCACTTAGGGGCGCCTGGGTGGTTCAGTCGTTAAGCATCTGCCTTTGGCTCAGGTCATGGTCCCAGGGTCCTGGGATCGAGTCCCGCATCAGGCTCCCTGCTCGGCGGGAAGCCTGCTTCTCCCTCTCCCACTCCCCCTACTTGTGTTCCTGCTCTTGCTGTTATCTGTCAAATAAACAAATAAAATCTTTAAAAAAAATAAAAATAAAAATCCACTTAATGGCCAATGCAGCCGATGATTCAGCCCTCTTACATCCATCTGGAACAACGAAGTCTTCTTTTGATTCTGAAATCATCTCAGGATGCCGGAGTCCAGCTCCAGCCGGGGTGGGTCTCTCATAGGAAAGGACAGCGTCGGCGAATGAGGAGACACAGACACAGGATCAGGTTGCAAGCATCTCCTCCTGACAGCCTCAGAGGAACTTTATTTATATGTTAGGATATTTTTGTTTTTCCATACTTTCGTAACATGTGATTATGTTTTTTTTTTTTACAATTGATTGAGATAATCTTAGATCATTTTTTGGATCACAGACATAGCCTTCTTTCATTTTTCCTTTGTAATGATTAACATGACCTTTATTGATTTCCGCTTATTGGCTTTCGCTAAAACTAAAAAACAGTACGCAAAGAGAAAGGCGCTAGACAGAGCGTGACCGTCTTGTTATTTTGTTCTATAGAAACTAATTCTTCGTGGAATTAGCTTCATTATGATTGCTTAGATAGGCGTAACTAAGATGAGTAGTCACTTTATCATGAAACCCCAGAAATATTCCCACAATTATAAAGATTGCCATAAACAAAATGAAAGAGAATAGCAGGAGCCAGCTGTGGAGTCTCCTGTTTTCAGGATCGTCCCCCGTACTTGGACCTTGTCAAACAGCATGAGTAGCTTTCTGCTTGGCTCCTGCCATCAGAAAGTTGGGGTACCCACGTCCAAGGGGCCCTTGCTCTGATTTTTATCTCCTCTTATTCTCAAATGCAACCCGTTCTTCCCATCCTCAGGACCACGTCCCTGGCCCCTGCGAAGCCTCGCAGGGGGTCTGCATCTGAGCCTGCTTCCCCCCACCCCTCGCCCCCGACCCATTCCCTACGCTAACAGTGTTTCACCCGCACAAGTCAGGTCGTGCACTCCAGGTGTAAAACCCCTCAGGGACTCAGCATCGCACTCAGAGAGCCCACCCATGAGGCACACCCAACTTTTAGGCTCCATCTGGCCTACGTCGACCTCCGACCCCTCGTGTCCCCCACTTTGCTCCCTATAGTTCTGTCCCCACATAGCACGCGCTTGATAACTAAGGAACGAGGGACGGACGCCCACTTTCCTCCCCGAGCTCCGCGGCCGAGGGCTCTTCGGGGTTTTCTGTGCGTGGAGGTGGGGCGAGCACTCGAAGCGGTTTCCTCACGCTCGCATCTGCCTCCGCGCGCCGCGGGAAAAGCCTTCCCCGAGCGGCCGGCAGGACCAGGGTCAGAGACTCGCAGAAACCCCTCGGCCGACGTCGGCCGGAAATCCACTCAGCCCCGGGATCGTCCCACACCCGAAGGCGGGACGGAAGTGTGCCTCGAGCCCGCCCCCGAGCCGTCATTGGAAGGAGCCCTAGAAAGGGGCGGGGACCCGGCCCAGTTCTGCTTCCTCATTGGCTGAAATCTACGCGCTAGCGAGAGAAGGGGAGGAAGCAGGCTACCCCTGACGCTTCGTCGGCCCTCGGGTTTTCATTGGCTGAAATCGAGAGCTGGGCGGTGTCTCACAGTCCTCCGGGTCCTTCGCGGGTTGCTAAGAGCGACAAGCCCTTGCCCCGCCCCTCGAGCTACCCTCTCCTTTTTAAACCCCAAATTGAGGACCCAGGCGGTCCTTCACCACGAAGCCTGGGGGGTCTGACCTCGGGCCTTTGCTTTCAGAGGCCTCGAGTCTCGCTGAGCCCAGGGATGTAGAGAAACTCGAGCGGCGAGGCTACCCGGAACGATTCTTTCGCGGAACCATTGCGGCGAGGCCGCTAGGAGCGCCCGCAGGGACTGACCGCGGCGGGCCGGGCCAGACTGGCAGGGATGGCGGCGGCGGCGACGGCAGCGGCTGACGCGGGGCCGAGGATCGCGGTCCCCGTGGATCTGCGGCGCGAGCGGCGCATGGTGTGCGTGGAGTACCCAGGCGTGGTGCGCGACGTGTCCAAGATGCTGCAGACTCTGGGCGGCGAGGAGGGCGTTTCCCGGGTGAGGAGCGGGATAGGGGGAGTGGCCGGGACCGCGGGAGAGACCGAGTCTCGGGACCTCGGCCGGAGGGGCGGGACCACCCGGGGAGGTGTGGTTTCCTTGGCAACGGAACTCGGGGCGGGCTCAGGGCGGCCAGTGGGCGGGGACTTGCCGCCTCCGCGCCTGCGAGGACTGCTTTTCCCTGGGAGCAGCGGGAAAGGGCTGTAGTGGAGACCCAGGGAGGGGCGGCGTGTCCTTTCCATCCGGTCCTCCGGGGATCCGGGGAGCCACAGCCCCCGCGACGTGCTGGGCTGCCACTTCCTCATTCACAGAGGAGCAGACCCAGGCGCGGGAGATTAAGAATCGTTGACTAACAGGAGAGGGGACCGGGTGTTGTGTTGTTGCGGTTGAAGGTGGTAATGGGGGGCACCTCGGTGGCTCAGTCGGTTAAGCATCTGCCTTTGGCTCAGATCATGATCCCAGCGTCCGGCTCCCTGCTCAGCGGGGAGTGTGCTTCTCTCTCCCTCCTTCTGCTGCTCCCCCTGCTTGTGCTCTCTCTCTGTCAAATAAATAAAATCTTAAAAAAAAAAATTAAAGGTGGTAATGACCATCAACTTCTTCGGTACCAGGTGCTTTACTTACATTCTATCCTCATTAGAACCCTGCCAGGTAGCAAAGGGCATTGTCCGCATTTTACTAGGAAACCGAGGCAGTTTGTTCAAGGTCTCCGGGAAAATGAGGGAGCTGGGATGACTTCTTACCTGGTGCAAGGCTCAGGGGAGGTGATTTACATGCACCAGATCTCGAAATGTCTCTTCCATAGGGAGTCCTCTGACTACCCTAATCAAAGTGGCCTCTAGTAGTTTGTATCTGCCTTCTCGACCTATGAATTCCCTTTTTTAAAAGATTTTATTTATTTGAGAGAGATCGTGCATGGGGGAAGGGCGGTTGGGGGGGGGGGTAGAAGCAGGCTCCCTGCTGGGCAGTGGCTTGATCCCAGGACCTCCGGGATCATGACCTGAGCCAAAGGCAGATGTTTAACCAACTGAGCCACCCGGCAGCCCAGACCTGTTAATTCCAATCTGAAATTACGTTTTAATACGTTTTATTGTCTGTCTTGGCCGCTTGCTCTCAGCTTGTAAACTCCATGAGAGCAGTACCTTGTCTCTCTTGTTTACTCCTGCAGTCCTAACATCTTTAATAGTACCTTCTTCCAAAATATTTGTCAGATGCATGACTGAATCCTCACAACAACCTAGGGAGTTAGGTACCATTTTTCCCTTTTTTCAGATGAAGACTCAGGTAGGAAAAATTGGGTCAAACAAACTCTCACGTGGGGATTTGAACTCATGCATGTCTCCCCTCTGAAGTCTGAACTCTTACCTGCTGCTTCCTCATGCTTAATGAATACTGAAAACCTGTCATTAAGCACAGGATGCCATAGAGGCCCAGTTAGTCTTCTGACTTACTCACTCTACCTCGGCATTGACAGGACCCTTGCTCTCACTAACCCCAGGGATATTTGTATCCGACTACAGTGTGAGCCTTTTGGAAGAGACTGGCCATCGATTCGTCCCATTCATGCTGCTTGTATACCTTCTCTGCCAGGCCCACAGCTGGGGTTATTCCCAGCCTCACGGTCTCATAGATCCGTGTCTCGTGAGACGGGATTCCTGAAGGTTGGGGCTCCTTTTAACCTTCTTTCCCTCGATGTTTCCTGAGCATCTCCTAAGGGCCAGGCTGTGTCCTTAGTGTTGGGGAGCCAGCAAGCTAGAAGGCAGACGCTCTTGGCCCCGTGAGCATTGTTGGGCTTTCATGTGCACACAGCTGACACTGTGTCCCTCCCACTTCATGTGGGGCAAGCACTCGTGGGTGCGTGACTTGTAGAGTGTTCACCACGAGCTAGACACCAGACAGCGTGTTGCATAGTCAACAATTCAGTGATTCATTTAATCATTGTTACAGTCCTGTGAGTAGGTACTGTTCGTATCTCCATTTTAAGGAGAAGGAACGGAGGCTTGGAAAGGATAAGTGACGCTAGTCAGAGCCAAAGTGCTTGTTACTAATTGATTTCAGTTCCTTTGGACTTGGAAACATTTGCACGTGAGACTGAATAGCAAGACCCTTTGGGCAGGTAGTGCCTCGGGTAGGAAGGTCAAGACAAGCCACTCCACCCTGCCAGCCTCGGTTCCTCCGTGGAAGACTCAGGGGTGAGAAGACTGCCACGAACGTCGCCAGGGGAGGCGCATGAGTCCCCGCGCTGAACCGGCACTTGGGTGGGGGTGCTCTACTTAGCTGGCGGTTATCGTCTCTAGCTTTCCAGCCTTTTGGAAGGAAGAGACTATCCTCATTTTCCCTACTAGATAAAAACTAAGATACTTGGGTTGGAAAAATGGGTCTTTTGAGAATTAAAAGCTCAGAATGAACCAGGAGCCCCCTGGCCTCCCTTTGTCAGCTGGGTCACTATCAGGCTTTTGTGGAGTGAGAGAGAGCTCTCTGCCAGCCGCTTAGCTGCCCACCGGTCACTGTTTTCCTTGGCCTCGCCACAGATCTACGCAGACCCCACCAAGAGGCTGGAGCTGTATTTCCGGCCCAAGGACCCTTACTGCCACCCAGTGTGCGCCAACCGCTTCAGTACCAGCAGCCTGCTGCTCCGCATCAGGAGGAAGACCAGGCGGCAGAGGGAGGTGCCGGGGCCTGAGCCCCACCCCAAGGTCACATTTGACATAGAAATACTTGGCACCATCTCCACCATTTACAAATTTCAAGGTAACTACAACTTACTGCGTTGGGTTATTTTAGGACCTGCGTCCACATTCCTACAGGTGCTCTGTGGGTCATCCACGCAGTGAAGGGGGCCAGTCTATGCCCAGGAATGAGGGGCAGGGGATGAGCAGAGCGGGACAGTGCAGGCCCCATCCAAGAGGCACCCGTTCCTCCCTCCATGCAACAGCTCTCAATGGACTGGGGGCCCATTGCTGCTCCATCTCCTGCATTCTTACGAAAAGCTGACGTTCTATGAATAATCCCCTAATTTTTAAGGCCATCATGTAGGGCCAAATAAAACTGGTTAGCAGGTCTCCAATTTTTGACCCTCAGTGTTTTGGAAACTTCTCTTAGTCTTGACTGATGCTAGTCTTGCCTTTCCTCTGAAGCCTTCCCAGATCACCTCAGCCCCTTGGGACCTCATGTTCCTTTGAACTCTTAGCCAACTGGCTGTCTTCCCTGGGGTCCTCAATCAGTTTGCTGCCCATAGGGAACCCCAGTGAGGGGTGGTAAGGGGTGTGGTGGGGCGGGTAAGTAAGAAAGAGCCAGTTTGTTTGGGCAGGTGCTCAGCTTCCCTCGGCCTCGGGCACTTCTCCATCCAGTGTGGGACCCTGGGCTCCTCAGGCCCTCGCGAAGGGTTGGGGTCCGGGGGATGCTGTTAAAGGGCCAGTTCGCGCACGCAGGAGGCACTTGGTAGATTACTAGTGAGCCTTAGGAATGCAGTGTCAGCTGCAGTTCTAGGAGAATCTGCAGAGAGCACAGATGGAGAAGAGGGGCTGGAAAGTGGAACGGGACGAAACCAGGACCAGGGACCCCTGAGCTGGGCATTTTGAACTCAGTCGTTCTGGTGGCATGCGGTGCTCCCCAAAGAGGGCAGTCCTTCCTGGGGTGAGGTCTTCCCGTGATGCATTTTCCATCTGTCTGCTTGAGCCGGCACCCCGCCGCTCACCTTCCGTCCCCGCCAGCAGCGCCGGTCCTGGGGGCTTGTCTGATGTGCAGCATCCCAGAGCCTTTAGCTAGGTCCCAGGTGAGTCGTGCACTCTACGTTTCAGGAAGCGCTGACTAGACTGGACCCTCAGGCACCACATCGCCCCCTCCTCCCCCAGCCCCTCCGGGAGACTCCCAAGTGCGCAGAGTCGCGTGCACAGAAGTATTTCCGAGGGTGCTGTTTCAGCTCCCACCCCCATGGCCCGCTGCACGGCTCCCTTGGTACCTCCGAGAACGTGTGGGTGTCGATGCACAGCAGTCGCCAGTTCCTGGGAGGGTGTAATGGGGTGTCTGCCATCTGGCCGCCTCTTTCCAGGAATGTCCGACTTCCAGTACTTGGCCGTGCACACGGAGGCTGGCGGCAGGCACATGTCCATGTATGACAAAGTGCTCATGCTCAAGCCTGAGAAGGAGAGTTTTTTCCACCAAGAGCTGCCGCTCTACATCCCCCCACCCATCTTCTCTCGGCTGGACACCCCAGTGGACTATTTCTATCGACCAGAGACGCAGCACCGGTAAGCCCCTCCACCCCCCGGCCCCTGCAGCATCAGGGTTCAGAGCAAGGGCCCTGTGGTCAGAGGGCCTCGGTCCCAGGCTCAACTCCGCCACTCCTGAGTCAGGCAGTTAGTACTGCTGGCTTTGCAAGCCCGTGGCTCCTGTGCCCCCAGAAGCAGCATACCCGGTGACATAGACCTTGCTCAAAGCTCCCACTCTACAGAGAGGGAATCAGGATGTCACCTTAAGACTCGGAAGACTCATGCCCAAAAGTATGTACCTTGAAATACTTAGAACAGTGAGTGCCTGGCAGAGCTTGATAGAATAAACAAGGCCATTAATTGGGATGTGGCTAATGAATTTATGGTCCTTCTAGGCCAGGGAACACCATGCAGCATGTGAGAGCAGGCTCGTGGATTGATGTGGCACTTGCCCAGGGTACCTTCCTCTATGAAAAAAGCAGGTGTAGGAGCACATTCTGTGATATAAAAATAAATTGTGGCATGACAATAGAAACCTAGAAAAATCTGGAAGATGGGGCCCAGAGCAGTTATCTGTAGAGGGGTGGGAGGATGAGAATGTTCTCTTCCCTCACTAAATGTTTTCATCAACAAGTGCTGACCACGGGTCATGGCCCTGGGGCACTCCTTGGAGCCCTGCATCAGCAGAGAACAGATGAGGTCCACGCTGGGCTGGGTGGGGAGCTGGATGGAGCATAAGTGAACCAGGAGGGAGCAATGGACCCGTGGCCAGATGCATGTCTTAGAGGAGATAAAAGGGATGTGGGTCGTAAGGGGCAGTGAGTAGGGTGAGGGCTCAGGGCCCTCAGAAGGGCTGGGACATTTGAAACAGACCTGAGTGATGACAGAGCCAGGCACATGAAAATCCAGGGAGAACATTCTAGACCAGGGGACTGGCGCCTGCGAAGGAGTGGTTGAAGAGGGAGCCTGGGAGAGCGATAGGTCTCACAGACCATGGTGAGGGGCTTAGATTTGATCCTAAGGAGAAGGTGTATTGTTCTCTTCCCTTAAAAAAATACGGAGAGTTCCAAACACAGCCCAAAGTAGCGCGAGCGCTCCAGCGGAGGCCCAGCTGTGGCACCAGCTTCTGCGATTGGCACCTCTCCCCCGCTTGCCACACTTGCCCAGCCTCAGCTTCCCAGCGCATCGTCGAGAAAGCATGCCCCGTGCCCATCCACGGGGAAGGACTTGTCTTCTCACACGAACCTGCCGCACTCTTGCCAGGACGAGCAAGAGAACCGGCTTCCCCTGCGCCTTCCGGTGCCAGTCCTCCCTCAGTTTCCCCAGCCAGAAGCAGGCCGCCTGGCAGCTTCCATTCGCGGTGCTCAGGCCTATTGAATCCGCGGCCCCCTCCGCAGCCCTTTCTGACCACAGGAGCGAGTGGTGGTTCCAGGGGCAGAGTATGACAGAACTGTGTAAGTGGATAAGGCTGGGCTGCACCTCTCCTGGCCGAAGCCCTCCACGTGGGGTGACGGGTTTTTCTGCGTGTGTGATACTCCGCACAGGAGTTTTAGGTGGGAGAGAGACGATTTGCATATTTCTGAAATGCTTTGATTATTTCCCCTCAGAGTCAGAAACAGACACAAAAATACATAAGGGAAACTAGACCCCTCTGTGCTGCTGAGCCCTGGTACAGGCTGGAGCAGCTGAGTCACCCCTCTGTCCTGTGGGACCTGTAGGCAGCTGCTCCCCGGCCTCTGGGAGAGGGACAAGGGAGAAAGGTTGGCTGCCCTTGGACCACAGGCCCTTTTTTCCTCCCCATGTGGTTTATCGATGTTCCAGCAAATGGAAAGAACCTGCCTTTTTTCCCAGGGCTACTATCAATTTTTCTGCTCTGCTGGCCTTCCTGGGTACACCAGGGCTGGGCGGGGGGTTGGGCCGCAGCCTTGCTGGCCCCTCCATGGGTCCAGGGAAGTTGAGCCTCCTGCAAGACCGTGGGCAGAGGAGAGGCTGGGAGGCTGGCCTGACAGGGGTACCTCCTCCTTGAGGAAGTTAGTGGGGGAGTCGGCGAGGCGGCCAAGGAGCCCTTTCCCTGTGGTGACAGGCCCTGGCAGGCCCACCCCTTGCTGCTGCTCTGGCAGTGGACTTCCTGGGGTGGAGTGAGCCACCGGGGCCTTCCCTCTGGGGGCTCTTCAGGGTCTTGGGCATGTCTTTGAAGACAGGGTAATATTACACCTGTTCGGGGTGGTTTCTGATGGGGTCACTTTACAAAAAAGGCACAAACTTGCTCTCATCTTTGTAATTTTGTTTTCCAGCGTGTCCTTTATAAATATGCAGATGGTTTCTACTCTTGTAGAAAATTAAGGTAGAATGGAAACAAATTTAAAAGGTAGTAATCACCTGGGTGCACTTGAGTGGCTCATTTGGTTAAGCGTCTGACTCTTGATTTCGGCTCAGGTCATGATCTCAGGGTCATGAGATCGAGCCCTGCTCTGGGTTCAAGATGGGAGTGGAGCCTGCTTAAGATTCTCTCTCTCCCACTCCTTCTGCCCCTCCCCCCTCAAAAAATAGAATGAAATAAATAAAAGGTAATAATCACCTGAATGAAAGTGTGTGATGTCCAGGACATACTTTAAAATGTATTTCAAGGGGTGCCTGGGTGGCTCAGTTGGTTGAGCATCTATCTGACTCTTGGTTTCCGCTCAGGTCATGATCTCAGGGTTGTGAGATCGAGCCCCCTGTCAGGCTCCTCACTAGCACGGAGTCTGCTTAAGACTCTCTCCCTCTCCCTCTGCCCTCCCCCACTGAAATAAATCTTTTTAAAAATCCTTTTAAAAAAGGTGAAAAAACGTATTTCAAAATAATTTCGTGCGTTTGGAGTGGGGTACAGATGAAACAGAATTGGCCGTGTGGTGATAATTATTGACGCTCATGATGGGTTGTGGGGCTTCTTGAGACTGTCCTCCCTGCTTTAGTATAAGCTTGACATTTCTGGACATTTCTGACATCCAACTTTTTTTTAAAGATTTTTTTATCTACTTATGCGAGAGAAAGAGCACGAGCTGCGGGAGGGGCAGAGGGAGAAGCAGACCCCCCACTGGGAGGAGAGCCCGATGGGGGGCTTGATTCCAGGACCCTGAGATCATGACCTGAGCCCAGGACAGACACTCAGCCAACTGAGCCCCCAGGCGCCCTGACATCCCACCTTAATGAGGTAACCACCTGAGCATCTTGGCCTGGCGCCGGCAGAGGAGGCCTGAGCGTAGCCGGCGCGAGAACCCTCACTTCTGACCCCTGTGCTGCAGGATAGTGCTGTTCAGTAATGTCCGTCTTCTCTTCACCCAGCTGTTGTCCAGATGCTTCTGGGCCAAACATGCTCTGTCAGAGGGTGGCAGGACGGGGTTTACAGGGCCCAGAGTCCCAGCTCTGTCCGTGTAAGCTCTGCCTCTAGGTAGCTTTCTAGCTGCTGTCGGTTACTTCGTAGGAAATTGGTTCCTTCCTCATAAGGTTGTCTTGAGGCTTAAGGCAGTGAGTCGTAAGCATCAGTTAGGGTGGGTGTTGCCTGATAACTGACCGAGCGTGTCCTGTGTCCCTGCGCCTCACCTCCCTCCCCACCCCTGCCTGACGGTGTTCCGTTCCTCATGGGCTGTCCGGTGCCCTGGGTGATGCGGTGCGGTTGTGAGACCAGCAGCCGCACCGCTTTTGGCTTCCCGGCTTGCGAGCTCCGGGCCCCAGGGCCTCTCTGAGCTGTCGGCAGCAGTCGCTGCCTCTGCCCCTGCCCGGCCGTCAGCCGGAGAACACAGGTGCTAAGGTTCTCCTCCAACCCGTCACCCGGCGTCCGGGGAAAGGCACCCACTCGTGGGCTCGCTGCCTGGTCCGGCAGGCCTGTGCCTGGGGTCCTCCTGGAGGTGCTCCATCCCACCCCAGCTCTCTCTGCCGCAGGGAAGGCTACAACAACCCCCCCGTCTCGGGCGAGAACCTGATTGGCCTGAGCAGGGCCCGGCGCCCCCACAATGCCATCTTTGTCAACTTTGAGGATGATGAGGTGCCCACGCAGCCGCTGGAGGCTGCAGTCCAGACGTGGAGGAGGATCTCTACCAACCCCCTGGACCGGAAGGTGGAGGAGGAGCTGAGGAAGGTGAGCCCGAGCCCGGGGCCCACCTCTGCACTGACCACCTCCCGTTTACCCAGCGGGGCCCTTCCCTCTTTCTGCAAATGGCTGTACTGACTTTTTAAAACTGGCTCATCGGCACATGGGAATGTTTCGTCTCCAGATGTCATATCTCAAAGCCACGCCAGTGTAAGCCCTACATTCCCAAGGTTGAAAATACTTCTTAGAATTTTCTTGAGAGGTCCCTTAGGGGTGGGAAGCAGTTGGTGCATTGTCTGCTCGTGACTTCACAGTGGAGCTCTGGGGTTCAGGAAACTTTCATTTATCCATCACTGGTGGCAAGAAACCAGATGGAGTACCTACCGTATGCCCCCTGATGCTTTATCCTGTTAGTGCTGGAGGGAACAGAGCGGCCTTCCGCCTGCGCCCCGGCTGGCAGGTCCTGGGAGGAGCCAGCGGGGGCCTCTGTTGCTCATGCCTGCACAGGCATGGACGGCAGGTTCTCAGGGAGGCCACATTGCTACTCACGGAGGCTCGTGAATGAGCTCGTGAGCTTCAGCCCTTGCTGAAGCCGACTGTTCCCTTGGGCGGGGGGTGGTTATTTCTTAAAGAGACTGTGTGGACACCTGACCGGTTTCCAGCAGTCACTGGTCACTGGAGGGGAGCCATGGGGGACCACTATCCGAGGGCCCTGCTAGTCCTCCAGACACAGCCCAGTCCCTGGCCTGGCCCCCCGGCACCCCCCACGCTCCAGCCACACTGGCCTCCTGCAGTCCTCCCTTGGGCCAGGCCATCCCCTTCAGCCTTCACGACATCCCAACTGAGACTCCACCCTCTAGGTTGGGGCTCAGGGTCCCAGAACTCTGGCATGTCCCCCTCTTGGCCCTGCTCTGGCTCCTTTGGTCGTCTGCCTCCCCCACTGTCCTGTGAGCTGCATGAGGGCAGAGACCGTGTCCTTCGTGGTCATTTCAGGATGCCCAGGCCCTGCAGCCACACCTGACCCAGGCTGGGTGTGCGGTCCCCGCTTCAGAAGGCAGGGACCAGTGAGTGGGTGCAGCAGTTCCTAGAGGCTGCTCCTTGCCCTGCTTTCCACCAACTCCTCTCCCGAAGGGTCTGCTGGGGACCAGACCATGCTAGAGAGTCTGAGCCAGGCAGGCGGGAAGCTGCTGGTGCTCATTTCAGTCTCTGCCTTGACTCCCCAGCTGTTTGAAATCCGTCCCATCTGGTCACGAAACGCTGTCAAGGCCAACATCAGCGTCCACCCTGACAAACTCAAGGTTTTGCTGCCCTTCGTGGCCTATTACATGGTGAGTGCCCAGCCTCTTGCCTTGGTTCCCACCAGGGGCGCCCTGATTGCTAATCTGACCTCTCAGAGCTACAGCAACAGCAGGTGGCCCTGTCCCAGCACCCCCCCCCCGCCCCGCCCCAGGCGGCTTATTACAGCCCCAGGAAGGCCCTCCACGGCCTCCTAGTAACGCTAGCCATACTGGAATGATTTTAGGATTAGAGAGTAATTATGTAACTTTTAAATAAAGGGATTATACTTTTTTTTTTTAAGATTTTATTTATTTATTTGACAGCGAGAGAGGGAACACAAGCAGGGGGAGTGGGAGAGGGAGAAGCAGGCTTCTGCTGAGCAGGGAGCCTGATGTGGGGCTCGATCCCAGGACCCTGGGATCATGACCTGAGCCGAGGGCAGACGCTTAAGGCAGACGCTTAACGACTGAGCCACCCAGGCGCCCCAGAGATTATACATTTTTAAATGATCTCATATTAAGAATGCTCTAAGGAGGGCGCCTGGGTGGCTCAGTTGGTTAAGCGACTGCCTTCGGCTCAGGTCATGATCCTGGAGTCCCGGGATCGAGTCCCGCATCGGGCTCCCTGCTC